TTTGCCAAGGTGTTCCGAGAAACCACCACTTCTGACCGGGATGGTAGTCGCGAACCGTCACGCATCGAGGTACGCGAATGAGTTGTGGTTTCGTGTTGACCACTTTTCGATCACAGGGTGGACCAAGCAAAAGTCGATACTTATGCCACGATGTGACGACTAGATGCCCGCCTTGAACTACCCGAGGTCTACTTCCCTACGGAAGTCAAAGCCTTGGTTGCCGCGGCGCGGACTTGCTCGTTCGAATCGTTCGAAGCTTGTTGCAAGTTCTTCGTGGCGCTCTTGGCGAGGGGGCCGAGTTGCTCCAGTGCTTCGGCGGCGAGTTGCCTTGACTGGGGCAGGGGTAGCGTGAGCCCCATGACTAACTCGGGGAGAAGGATTTCGGCCGATCGTTGGTTGGCACCGTGGATCTGGAGCAGGGACCAGGCGCTGAGCAACGATAGCGAGTCGTTGGACTCCCGGAGGATGGCTACAAGTGCCTTATCCGCAGGGTCGGCTGCTGGACCGATCTTGCCTAGTGCGTACACGGCGGCGTGTTTGGCCTGGCTCTCTTTATTGCCAAGGCACTCAATCAGCGCCGGTACCGCTTCTTTTGCACCGGGACCGATGCTCGAGATGGCGTGGGCGGCTTCAATGCTGACATTGGGATCGGGATCGCTCAGCAGATTGGCCAGGGCTGCGGTGGCAGGTGCGGCTGGCGGCCCGATGCGTCCCAAGATGGCAGCGACTTGCGGTCGCAGATCGGCGTGATTCAGTGCGACAATGAGTTGCGGGACGGCTGGTTCACCCAGCGAGGCGAGGGCGTCGAGCATGTAATGCGAGGTTGTTTCATCCGCACTTTCCATGGCCTTCTTGAAAAGCGGGAGAGCGATCTCGGGATTCGGTGGGAGCGAAGCAAGCGCTCGAGCTGCGGCAGTGCGTACGAAGCCATCTTCGTTGGAGAGTAGCGGGATGAGATGCTCGATTACGGCCTGTTGCAACCGCTTATCGTCGGGGTGCAGACGTGCCAGAGCCCACATGCTGGTGGCGCTGAGTAAGACGTTCTCGCTCTTCACGTTGGCACGGACTACGGAATCGGCCTCGGGAGGCATGGTGCCGATCATCGCCAGAGCGTAGGTGGCCGCCACGGCGACGGCTTCGTCTTTCAGTAAGGGAGCGATGGCCGGCGCGCTGTCAGGAGAACCGATGGCTGCCAAAGCCAAGACGGCTTCGCGACGAATTTGTTGATTGGGATCCTTGAGTTTCTCCGTGAGAGCCGGCACCGCATCGACGGCATCAGGACCGATGTCGCGGAGAATGATGCAGGCCCAGAAGGTTGCTCCTTCGGTGTTCAGAGCTTCGATCATTGCCGGGACGGCTTGCCCTTTGGCTTCGGCCACGGCCTCCATTACGCGCATCCGAACGCCGGGGTCTGAGTCTTGCATCAATTTGGCGAAGAGCGGAACGGCGACTTTCGGACCGGGGCGAATGGCTTGTAGGGCTTCGATCGCGTAGCGTCGAACCGCGGGTTCCGGGTCGCCCAATAGATCGATGATCGCTTCGGTCGCACCTTTGGCGGGTGGACCAATCATCGCGAGTGCCCGGGCAGCATAGCCGCGGACTACTGGAGAGTCGGACTTCAGCAACTCGGTGAGCGGCGGAACACCTTCGGCCCCGAGTTCACCCATATCGTGGATAGCCTGACGTTGCACCGCAGGGTCTGAAGACTTTGCGTCGGCAACGAGTTTGTCCAGGCTAACTTTTTGGGCACTGGCGGATGTGCAGGCGAGCAGGAGGAAGCCGACTGCCAATACAAAACAGGTGCCGCGACGATTCGACAAAGAAGTCATATTTCTATCTACTCGATTTTAGAAGTAGTGTGTCAGCTGACGTAACAGTTAGCCGTGGTGACCATCAAGCCGCTCAAGAAGTTCTTGCAAATCACGTAATCTTGCGGCGGGATGTTGTGGATCTGAGATTTGAGCTTCGCCGCCATGTCGTTGATGATTGCTTTTGCTTTCATCTGGTCGGCATAGTTGAGGTGGCTCATCTGAGTGTACGACCCAACGAGTGCTTGTAGCTTCTCGCGATCGGCGGCAAACATGTCCAACTGCAATGCTTCCGGCCATTCGAGTTCGCCGGTCACGTGATTGACTTCGTCGGGACTGAGCGGCTTGGGAGCTGTTTCCTTCGCGATACGGGCAAGCTGTTCGGCGGTCGGAGGCGGACCTCGTTCTGCGTTGCGAGCAGCCTTGTTGGTTTCCCGCATTTCAAAATAGGTGTTTTCGTATTGCTGGTGATTCTGAATCTCTTGGCTTTGGGCGTGGGTCATGTTGACCGCTGCTGCGGACGTACTCAGGTTGTAACTTCCTTGAGCACTGATGACATTCGCCATGCCTGTCGCAGCAGAGCCGGCCACGGTGCCGCCTGTGCCCCAACCTCCGTAGTACCCTCCATAACCACCTCCGCCATAAACGCCCACTGAAGGTGGAGGAACGGCGGGCTCGTACGGATCGGATTGCTGTTGGCCAATCACCAGCGAGGTGCAGGCCAGCAGCCCAAGAATTGCCAGGAAGGGAGACTTCATAACTGCTTATCCTTCATGCGAGTTGCGGTTTAAACCCCGCGAAAGCCGCGTTTCAAGCGAGTATCTAGTATTGTTCAGGCACCACGCCCGAACAAGGATTTTGTAGTCGAAAATTGTTCTCCATTTGTCCTAGGTAGCGCCCTAAACCGCCCACCGTTTACTTGGGGCAGGCTAGTTGGGACTTTTCTCCTACCTCCACCGTACAAGTTAGGCCAATAACTGCCGAATCATAACGACTGTGCCGAATAATCTGATTCGGCTCGAGCCCTTGGTGGGGCTTCATCTAACGCTCATATTTTGGTCGGTGGTAGGGTGAGGTGGCCTCGTAGCTTGGCGTCCAAAGCGTCGTATTACTAATCCTGATCAGCTTGTTGGACTGGATTCTCTTCCAAGGCGTGCAGCGCCTGGCGTAATTGCTCCGGTACTGGCATGGTTTTTTTACATTCGCATTACCGCTGGACCGACGATTGAGAGAACCAACGAATAGCAGAACGCCAGCACGGCGAGCCCGATTAGGATTGCAGTTTTAATTCTCGCCAGACATATGAATAGTGAAAGAATCATGAGAGTCGTTACGCCGATTATCACCCATGACCTGCTATTGAAAATCTGATCCAGGTGTTATGAAGGTCTTTACGCATGTGAGCGAGGAGACCGAGATGACGACGAAGCGACGTAAGCGGCATACGCCGGAGCAGATTGTTCGTAAGTTGCGAGACGCGGACGCGATGCTCAATGCTGGGAAGGACCAGGCTGCTGTATTGCAGGCCCTGGAAGTGAGCGAAGCCACGTATCTGCGTTGGCGAAACCAGTACGGTGGGATGAAGGCCGAGGAGGCGAAGCGGCTGAAGCAACTGGAAGACGAGAACAGGCGGCTGAAGGAGTTAGTGGCCGAGAAAGAACTCGACATCAAGATGCTGAAGCATATCGCGGAGGGAAACTGGTGAGCCCTTCCCGGAAACGAGCGGCGGTCGGCGAGCTGCGCGAGGTGTTCGCAGTTTCCGAGCGAAGGGCGTGTCAGGTGACTGATCAGCCACGCAGCTCTCAGCGTTACCAGCCGCAGTCTCGTGATGACGAAGCGGCTTTGGTGAAGCGGATGCGTGAACTGGCCGCCGCTCGACCGCGTTTCGGTTATCGTCGGATTGCCGTGCTATTGCGTCGCGAAGACTGGGAGGCCAGCAACACGCGGGTGCTGCGGCTATGGCGTCGCGAAGGGCTGAAAGTGCCACAGAAACGCCGTAAGAAACGCTACTTGGGCGACAGCAGCCAAGCCTGTCACATTCAGCGAGCCGAACATAAAGACCACGTGTGGTGTTGGGACTTTGTGTTCGATCGCACGGAGGCCGGCAGCCCGTTGAAGTGGCTATCGATCGTCGACGAGTACACGCGGGAGTGTTTGGCTTTGAAAGTCGACCGCAGCATCACCAGCGAAGATGTGATCGACTCGTTGGCCGAGCTGTTCGCGATGCGGGGCGTGCCCGGTGCGATTCGCTCGGACAACGGCCCGGAGTTTGTAGCTGGTGCAATCCGGCGATGGCTAAAGCAAGTCGATGTCGAAACGCACTACGTCGCGCCGGGCAGTCCATGGGAGAATGGTTACGCGGAGAGCTTTCACAGTCGGCTTCGCGATGAGTTCTTGGAGATGGAAATGTTCGAGAGTTTGGCCGCGGCACGGAAGCTGACCACGGCCTGGAGAAAGGATTACAACGACGTGAGGCCGCACAGTTCGCTGGGGTATGCCACCCCGTCCGAATTCGCGACCCGCTGTGCTGCTTCCGTTCCGAAGTCGATTTCGGCTACGCCTCAATCAACTTCTCCACTCCAGCAGCACAGCGAAATACCCCAACCCACACCTTCATAGCAAGTGGTACAGAAATTTAAGGCTGGTCACCCAGCTGATCGGCTGCGAATTATTTACATGCAATAACGCTAGGATCGGCGCTGCCGGGAGGAGACCTGGCAGAAGTGGCGATGCCCAGAGATATTCCCGAGCCACGTGATCCCAGGCCAAATGCGGGTTCCAATGACTTTGTCCGGTGGCCAGGATACACATCGGCGCTGGGAGGTAGGATGCGACCGTGAGAATCAGTACGGGCCAGAGGTTTCGTCTGCGATTCGCCTGGGGGCCGACGAATAATCCGAGCCAGATAAGCATCGGCAGGGCCGGCAGCCACAAGAAGCCCAGGGCGAGCCAGGCCGTCGCAGCCATCAACTGCAGTAGGGTTAATTGAAACCTTTTCGGTTCTGCCACGTCTATGTCAGTCAACGCAGGCGCCCCATGGATCCAGAGAGCTACAGCCCGTCAAACCCGTTGGCAAATATCGCCGCAATTCAACAACCATCTCGTTCACGATCGAATCGCACAGTTGGTCACTAGTATTATGCAAAGAATACTGAGCCACCGATGAACGTGATGAGTTGTTGATAAGTCTCGTTAACCTAGCTTCTCGAGCGCCCCCCGTATCCCCTCTGGTACGGGTGTTGGCTTCCTACTCTCCCGGTCGACAAATACGTGCACGAAGTAGCCGGTGGCGGCGGGGGTGTCTTCGCCTTGTCGAAACAGGCCGATTTCGTAGCGGACGCTGGTGGTGCCGAGTTTGGTGACGCGGAGGCCGGCGTCGATGGTTTCGGGGAAGGTTAGTTCGCGGTGGAATTGGCATTTGCTTTCGACGCAGAGGCCGATGGCTGGTCCGCGGGCGATGTCGAGACCGCCGTGGTTGATGAGGAACTCGTTGATCACCGTGTCGAAGTACGAGTAGTAGACCACGTTGTTCACGTGCCCGTAGATGTCGTTGTCCATCCATCGCGTGGGGATGGCGAGAAACCGCGGGAACGCGTTGCGGCCGGGCAGGCTGTTGTCGGGCATGGGATGACTCTTGTGGGAGGGCTGTTCGTGCTTTTGTTGGCCTCGCCGCAGTGGTTGAAAATTTACTAGGGGTGGCGCCGGTTCTTGAACCGGTGTGGCACAGCCGCGAGAGGTTTCTTAGTTCTGGCTATACCAACCAATAGGGCAAGCCACCTCGAGAACAGTGTTAGGTAAATTCCGCAGCAAAGTTCACGACTTGCGGTGTGATCCTTCCTTTCTCGATGGCCTCTTGTCGACTTCGTCGACCCAGCTTCGAGAAGCTGGGCTACCCGCTGGGCTACACGTGAAAGTAACTGTGAGGGTAATTCTAAAATGTCTTACATAGTGTGCCGCCGTCGACGACGATGGTCTCGCCGGTGATGTAGCTGCCGGCTTCGCTGGCGAGTAGCAGGGCAGGGCCGGCGAGTTCTTTGGGATCGCCCCAACGGCCCAGAGCGGTTCGGTCGGCAAATTGGGCTTTCTGTTCATCGGTGAGCAAGCTGCCGGGCAGATCGGTGAGGAAAGGTCCGGGTGCGAGGCAATTGACGGTGATGCCGAAGGAGCCGAGATCCAGGGCGCTGGCTTTCGCCATGCCGATTAGGGCTGCCTTGGTGGCCGAGTACGAGTTGCGACCTTCTTTCGAAGCCAGGCCCATGATCGAAGAGATGTGAATGATCCGCCCCCAGCGGCGCTCTTTCATTTGCGGAACCAGGCCCCGCGTGAGTTCCATGCAACTGGTCAGGTTCAGCTCGATGATTTTGTCCCAGCTCTCGTCGGTGATTGCATCGATGGCCTGCGGTTCGTTCCCCCCGGCGTTGTTGACCACGATGTCGATATGCCCCATCGAAGAGAGTGCTTTTTCTATCAGCCCTCGCACGGCCTGGCGGTCGGTCATGTCGGCCACGATGAAGCTGACCCGTCCCTTGGCGGTTTTTGAGATCTCGGTCTGCGCGGCTTGCAGTTCGGTCTCGTGGCGGCTGGTGATGATCACGTCGGCCCCGGCTTCGGCAAACGCCGTGGCCATAGCCTTACCCAGCCCCTTGCTACCCCCGGTGACCAACGCCACGCGGTCGGTAAGATCAAACATCGTGCCTTCCATCGAAGTGGTCCTCGTCGTTTGACAATGGTTTCAACGCATGAAACATAGTGCCGCGAGCTGTCCCGAACAACTGCTGGGAAGCGGGTATTCGCTTTACCGGTGGTAGTACAATCGCCGTCCGGGAGGGGCGGGGGGGAACTCCGTCACTGGTTGCTGTTGGTCGATCACCAGTTGACCATTCACCAGGACGTGAGAGATTCCTTCGCAGAACTGGTGCGGCTGTTCGAAGGTCGCCCGATCGGTGACGGTTTGCTCATCGAACACCACCAAGTCGGCGAAGGCTCCTTCCCGTACAAAGCCGCGATCAACCAGTCCGAAACGTTCGGCCGGCGCTCCACTCAACCGGCGGACGGCGGTTTCGAGGTTGAAGAGCTTACGATTGCGAACCATAGGGCCGAGAATGCGCGGGGCGGAGCCATAGACTCTGGGGTGTACAGTTCCATCGGCGAAGAAGATTCCGTCCGAGCCGAAGAGGCACTTCGGGTGGGCCAGCATGGGCTCCATGATCCGATCGTCGCCGAAGCGGTAGACGAACGTGACGGCCAGATTCTCTTCGATCAGTAGGTCCAGCAACGCATCGACCGCGGGCTGTTTTCGCAATTCGACGAACTCGGCTAGCGATTGTCCGATGTGCGGGGCGTTGTCGCGGGTGGCTACCCAGGCGATGACCAATCGATCCAATGGAAGTTCGGCCAAGTGCTGGGCGAAGCGGGTGCGTATCGCCGGGTCACGAAGGTGAGAGATGACGCCGAGGGGACCGTCGATCCAGGCTTCGTAGGGTACCTGCCCGCTGAGCATGGTTGAGCCGGGCAGATAAGGGTACACGTCGAACGAAAAGTCGACTTGGTGGACGGCAACTTCGTCGATGTACTCGAGCAACCGGTCGGTGTCTTCAGGTGTGAGGCCCTTCAAATGCGAGACGTGCAGCTTGACGTTGGCACGGCGGGCGATGTCGACGGCCTCTTGCACGGCGGGCAGGAGCCCATCTTTGTAGCGAACGTGCGTGACATAGAGTCCGTCGTAGGGGGCCATCGCGCTGGCGGCGTCGACGAGTTCGTCTGTGGTGGAGAAGAACTGGGCGACATAGTCCAGCCCGGTTGAGATACCGACGGCGCCGGCTTCCATGCCTTGCTGAACATAGCGGCGAACGGCCATCCGCTGCATATCGTTCAGCAGGCCATCACCCCACCCGGCTGCAAGTACGCGTAGATTGGCGTAGGGAATCTGCGTGATGGTGTTCTGCGCAGTGCGACGATCGAGCAACGACATGTAGTCGTCGAGCGATTGCCAGCCTTCGTAGTCGCAGAGCCGCAGCCCATTAAGTGAGCGGAGGTAGACAAACCAGTCGGGAGCGAGTTCAGGCGTGAGAGGAGCATACGAAATGCCGTCGCTCATCAAGACTTCGCTGGTGATACCTTGCGAGGTCTTGGGAGCGAGGTTGGTCGTCTTTAGAAGCCAGCCCTCGTCGTGATTGTGGACATCGACGAACCCGGGGGCGACGACCATGCCGGTGCAGTCGATCGCTTGCTGTGCTTCGATATTTTCGCCGCGGGCGAGGCGGACAATCCGATCGCCCTCGATGGCTACATCGGCTTCGAAGCGGGGATCGCCCGAGCCATCGATTACCGTGCCGCCATGGAGAAGCCAGTCGTACACGGTGGCCTTTCAAACGAAACGCTACGGATGGATGACCGCTTGTCGCGCAAGCCGGTCGGATCGATTGGCATGGGGCAGGGCAGGGGATAGCTGAAATCCCCAAACCTTGTTTGTTGCTTACGAATCCAGGGCGTCGCAGACGAGATCGCCGACTTCGGTGGTCGAGTAGCCCATGCGGCCGGCAGCCTGGCTTTTCATCTTGGTGCCGGTTACAGACTGCACGGCCTTGGTCACGCGGTCGGCGGCCGACTGGTGGCCGGTTTGCTCGAGCAGCATGGCCATGGCGTTGATCGTGGCGATGGGGTTGATGACGTTCTTGCCGGTGTACTTGGGAGCACTACCGCCCATGGGCTCGAACATGCTGGTGCCGCCGGGATCGGGGTTGATGTTCCCTCCGGCCGCGACGCCCATTCCGCCCTGGAGGATGCCGGCCAGGTCGGTGATGATGTCGCCGAACATGTTCGTGGTGACGATCACGTCGTAATACTCGGGGTTCTTCACCATCCACATGCAGCAGGCGTCGACGTGGTTGTAGTCGGGCGTGACGTCTGGGTATTCCTTGGCCATTTCGTCGAAGGCCCGTTGCCACAGGTCGTGACCGTAGGTGAGCACATTGGTCTTGGCGACCAGCGTGAGCATCTTCTTCTTGTTGCGACGCCGCGTGTACTCGAACGCATAACGCAGGCAGCGGTCGACGCCCTTGCGGCTGTAGATCGCGGTTTGGGTGGCCACTTCGTCGGGAGTGTTCTTCTTGAGGAAGCCCCCGATGCCAGCGTAAAGATCTTCGGTGTTTTCGCGGACCACGACGAAATCGATGTCGTCGGGACCTTTGTCTTTGAGCGGGGTATCGACGCCGGGCAAGAGCTTCACCGGGCGGAGATTGATGTATTGGTCGAGTTGGAACCGCAATTCCAGCAGCAGGCCCTTTTCGATAATTCCGGGCGGAACGTCGGGATGGCCGACGGCACCCAGCAGAATGGCATCGAACTGTCGCAAGTAATCGACGGCCCCTTCGGGCAGGATTTCGCCGGTGCGGAGATAGCGATCGCCGCCGTAGTCGATATCGGTCAGTTCGACGTCGAACCCTTCGAGCGAAGCCACGGCATTCAGCACTTTTACCGCTTCGGCGGCAACTTCAGGTCCGGTGCCGTCTCCGCCGATCACGGCGATCTTAGTGGTCGATTTCTCAGCCAACGTGAATCTCCCCAGAATATCCGTCTGAATTTGATGCGACTCTGCTCGAAAACGCCAAATTCTAACAGTCGATTTGCACCCTCACAAGCAAGGCCCATGGGGTGGTATGCGTCCTGGGGAGAAGTGAAGGCGGGGATGGTTGCTCGCTTTTGTAAAAGCGTTGGCCGACTGCCTCAGTTGTGGCCATCGCTCCACATCCCACGCCCGGCGGCGCGGGCTTCGTCGAGCAACTGTTCGAAACGGCGCCGCATCGAAGAGGAGTAGCGATAGTGTCCAGGCACGTGGGCGAGCCCCGCTCGTACGAGTTCTTCGTTGAGCATCTGATCGCCGACCCAGACGTAGGCCAGGGTGCGTTCGTAGGGGTCCAATCGTTCGCGGTCGAACTGCAGGCGGATCTCTTTGCCGTTAACAAACGATTCGGTGAACTCGGTGGCTTCGACTGCCCAGGGTTGGGGGCCACCGTTGTCGGTTCTCATTTCGGGGGTGTTCACGCCAATGAGGCGAACTCGCGTGCCGTCTTCCAGCAAGAGCGTATCCCCGTCGACCACGCGGCGGACTTGATAGGGTCCTTCTCCCGCGGGTTGTGTGGTGGGGTTCTCTTCCGTCGAGAGATGAAAGAATCTGGCCGCGACGACCAGCAACGCGGCGACGACTAGCAGTAGCTTTCTGTACCGGCGAGGGCCTGCAAGATTTCGAGGCATGGCACCCGCGACTCACCTTCGAACTACTGAACGGACTGAGGGAATCTCAGAAAGCTGAATGGCTGCTACTTAATGCGTTTGATGAAGCGAGGTCCGGAGAAGCCTGTGGTTAGCGAATGACGCCGAGGCCACAAAGGAGCTTTGATTAGTTCTCGCTGAAGTCGAACTGGGTCGATGTCTCGTTGCTCAAGGGGTTCTTGAGGAACTTGCGTCGGCAATCGGGGCAGAGATCGAAATGGAGTTGTTGAGTATCGGCTTCGGTAGAAGCTTCAGGGTCGGAATTCTCGAGATGTTGCAGCAGGTCGTTGATCTCTGAGAGGTGGTCGCGATCGTCGTCGGGTTCGTCGCAGGCCTGAGGATCGAGGGCGGCGGAAACGTCGATCTTGATGATGTAGCGAACGTCGTCAGTCGGGTCCAATTCGCGATGGCACATATCGCACGAGTAGCGGATCATGACCACGTTCCTCCTATCGGCCAGGGATTCATCGCCGGTTCCTCCGGTTCTTTATTGATCTCTCACAAACGCGATGAAGTCCATCGTAATGCCATTTCACAAGACGAAGCAAGCCACGTTGAGGCCACTTGAGGCCATCTTTGTGCTTGACAGAACACGGATGCCGTGTCCCGGTGAGCCTGGTTCTTAAGGTGTCAGCACCGCACATTCGAGACGCTGGCAACGGGGTGAAGGCACCACGGGCGGATTGGGTGGTCGATCGTCAGGCCGATCCGTTAAACTTGGGCAGACCGGGGGTGGCAATCGTCCGGCTGACTTGGGAGCGGCAGGGCTGTAGAGAAGTGTCTGCTGGTTGCTCCGACACTAGCTATTGGGCAAACGCTTGCTACGGTCACTATAATAGACTCTATGTGAATCGATTGATTGGTGGATGGAAGCTTGAGGACCGCGCTGGTAAGTGCGATGTCTGATGGTGGATCTTATGAATACGGTGCGAAAGTCTTGGCGGAAGGAACGTTGTTAATTCGGGTGTAGACCGCTGAGCTGACGCTTACTCACTTGCGCAGTTGGAGAAAACGGCATGTCGATGGCGACAACCGCGAATCCGTTGTCCGTCAGTGTGCTCGTGTTGAACCGCTTCTACGTAGCGGTTCATGTGGTCAATGTTCGCCGAGCCGTGGCGCTGTTGTTCCGCGATTTGGCGGAGGTCGTTCACGTCGAAGACGGGCAATATGCGAACTACAACTTCGATTCGTGGCGGGAAATCAGCGAGTTGAAGGCCGATTTTAAAGAGCCCGAGGAAGATTGGGTTCGCTCGGTGAACTTCGAGTTGCAAGTGCCTCGAGTGATTCGGCTGCTTTCTTACGATCGATTGCCGAAGCAGCAAGTCCGCTTTAATCGTCGCAATCTCTTTGCTCGCGATGGCAACCGTTGCCAGTACTGTGGGCACCGTTTCCCGACGAGTGAGTTGAGCCTCGATCATGTGATCCCGAAGAGCCGCGGTGGTGAGGCCACCTGGGAAAACATTGTCTGCAGTTGCGTGCGTTGCAACATTCGCAAGGGCGGCCGTACCCCCACCGAGGCTCACATGAAGTTGATCAAGCCACCGGTTCGCCCGAAACGCAGCCCTCTGCTGACCATCAAACTCGGAAACCCCAAGTACGAGAGTTGGAAGACGTTCCTGAATAACGCCTACTGGTCGGTCGATCTGCAGCAGTAGTTGGGTGTGTGAGGTCTTGCCGGGTGTACCGCCCGAGGCGCATGAAAAACCGCCGACTGGCGAGGTGCGCCAACCGACGGTTTGGGTTCTCAGTTGTGATGATCGGTGATCATCAGCGGGCCGCGACTAGTTTTCGGCCAGAGGCTCTTTCTTCTCGGTGATGACTTCGCACTCTTCACTCTTCTCGGCGTTCATCTCGATGTATTTCTCCCACTCTTCCGGCACGTTGTCCTCGTGGAAGATAGCCTCGACCGGGCATTCAGGAACGCATGCTTCGCAGTCGATGCATTCATCGGGGTGAATGTAGAGCATCTTTTCACCCTCGTAGAAGCACTCCACCGGGCAAACGACTACGCAGTCGGTGTATTTGCAATTGAAGCATGGTTCGGTAACCACGTGTGTCATTGAACGACACCTCCTGATTCAGTGTCGACCATACAAGACGGTCGAAAAAAACGATTGTTTATCCACCTTTCCAAGACACGCTTGGGAGGCCGGTGGTTCCTTAGTTCGTGCTGCGAGATCGTGCCCCCACGACAGCGGGGGGGCAATGTGCGGAACAGCGTCAACTGCTTGGCACGATTGCACTTGCCCACTTGGGGACGTAACCGCAGGCATCTTATGAATCGGCCAGATGAGTGTCAAGCTAACACAAATATCTCAGATAGCGTGCCTGGGCAGCTTTCTATTGCCCCACTTTTTCATCGGACTTAGAATCGATAAGTCCATTAGCCATTTCGCGATACGGGCATATCGGACCGCACGCCAGCGTGCGCGCAGGGATGAATCCGGGCCCCGATTGTCGCCCCGCTTCGAGGTATTTCTGGTTTGGTCCTCTCCGCTATCGACCGACAATTGCTTGAACGATGCCTGGAAGGGAAACCCGGCTCGTGGGAGGATTTCGTAGACCGCTATATGGGTCTGCTGATCCACGTGGTGAATCACACTGCCCAGTCCCGCTCGGTCCGGCTCTCTAAAGAGGACCGAGACGATCTGTGTGCCGACGCCCTGTTAGCCATCATTCGCGACGATTTTGCCGTATTGCGGAACTTCCGCGGTCAGAGCAGCTTGGCCACCTACCTTTCGATCATCGCTCGGCGAGTGGTGGTGCGAAAGATGCGGAAGTCCAAGCGGGCCTCGTCGCTTACCGAAGAGGGGCCTGAGGATCCGTCGGTTCAGGAAGTCGAGCAGATGCTCGAGGACCGGGAAGAAGTCGAGCGGCTGCTGGGGAGCTTAGAACCCAACGAGGCCGAGGTGATTCGGCTTTACCACATCGACGGGAATACCTACGAGGAAATCAGCGATATCGTAGGCATCTCGACCAACAGTGTCGGGCCGCTGCTCAGCCGTGCCCGTGAAAAGCTGCGAAGGCTGAATGCCCCGCCGGCTGCCTCATAGTGTTGCGGTGATGTTGCTTCTTTGCGGCTCGTCACTTCAGCCGCTGATTCCGCAGCCAGCCTCAGTCCACTTTGCGGACTACGCCGACCATTACGCCTAAAACACGGGCATTATCGACGTAAATCGGTTCCATCGACGAGTTCGAGGGTTGCAGGCGGATGCGGCCATTCTCGGGGAACCAGCGCTTGAGCGTGGCTTCATCTTCGTCGGTGAGGGCAACGACGATTTCTCCCCTTCGGGCGGTGTCTTGCTTGCGGATGACCACGTAGTCGCCGTCGGCAATTTGGTCCTCGATCATCGAATCGCCGTCGACCTCGAGAACGAACAACTCTTGGTTTTTGGAGTTAAAAAGCTCGGTAAAGTCGAACCGCTCGCTCTGTTCGATGGCTTCCAGTTGCAGACCGGCGGCGATGCGCCCTGCCAGCGGGAGACCGCGAGTGTCTGCTGATTCTGAGGCCAACATGATGGCTCGCGACATGTTTGGCTCGCGGGTGATGAGGCCTTTCTTTTCGAGGGCCTTCAGGTGGCACATCACTCCATTGGGAGAGCTGATGTTGAAGTGGTTGCCAATTTCGCGAACCGTGGGACCGTACCCCCGGCTGTGGATCTTATCGCGAATGAAGTCGTAAACGTCCTGTTGACGTTTGGTAAGTCGGTCGCGATCAGCCATCGGTATGTCCTCTTTGTTGATGTTCGTAACGGGTACGATTCTCCCTCACCTATCGGAAAGAATCCAAGTCCCGCCTACCTAAATTTAATATACGGGTGTACAGAGTCAATAGCATATGTACACTACCGGTGCTAGCTGCGTGAGGAGGCTGGCTGGATGTCTTTCCAGGCCAATGGCTTAGGGTTGGAAGATCTGAGCGGCCCGAAAAAACTGGGGACAGGATTAATTGGGCCAGCTATCGCCAGGAGAAGGTTTTGCCGGAGAGCCGCTCGAAGGCCTCGATGTACTTCGCCCTGGTCTGTTCGATGATCTCGTCGGGCAACGTGGGCGGAGGACTGTTTTTGTCCCAGGTGGTGCTGTCGAGCCAGTCACGCACGAATTGCTTGTCGAATGAAAGCTGAGCCCGCCCTGGCTGGTACTCGTCGGCCGGCCAGAAACGCGAGCTGTCGGGCGTTAGAACTTCGTCAACAAGCACAATCTTTCCGTCGATGAATCCCCATTCGAACTTGGTATCGGCCAGAATAATGCCGCAGGATTCAGCGTGTTTGGCTCCCTGGGCGTAGACGTCCAAAGTCCGCTTTCGCAGGTCTTCGGCTAGTTCGGCCCCCACCGATGCGACCATCTGATCGAACGAAATGTTTTCGTCGTGGCCCGACTCAGCCTTTGTGGCCGGGGTGAAGATCGGCTCCGGCAGGCGATCGCTTTCGACCAGACCTTGTGGGAGTGGAAGTCCGCAAACGGTGCCTTGCTTCTTGTATTCGCGCCATCCCGATCCGGCCAGGTAACCGCGGGCGACACACTCGATCTGCACCACTTCGGCCTTGTGAACCAACATCGACCGGCCTGCGAGGGGCTCGCGGTCGATGCCCTCGGGCAGATCCATCTCTTGGACGTCGGTCGAGATGATGTGGTTCTCGACACCCAGCCGATCGAACCAGAAGCAGCTCAACTCGGTGAGTACCCGTCCCTTGTCTGGAATGCCGTTGGGCAAGATCCAGTCGTAGGCACTAATACGGTCGGTGGCCACGATCAAGAGCCGATCACCTAAATCGTAAACGTCGCGGACCTTACCACGGCGACAAGGAATGTCCGTGAGGTTAGTCTCGACCAGTGCCGTGCGATTCATGGGGCAGTTCCTGATAAAATGGCAGCGTTGCGGATTTGCCTGCCAGAGCAGGCGAGTACCGCACAGAGGTCGAATTGTATCAATGTGCCGTAAGGCTCTCTAGCAGCATGGGCCTCGCGGCTTGATGCTGCCT